ACAGGCATCCTCCTTTACACATGCAGAAAGCCTCAACAATCCCTCACGGATTTGAAAGAAATAAACAAGATACTGCATTAAAGCATCGAGTCAGAGCACACTGTTCAGAATTAATATTACTGAAAGGCAATACAAGACATGATCAAGGCAGTGGGTTTTGCGCCAAGTGTGTCTCATTGCAAAATGGGAAATGCTCTGTTACACACAGCTAATCGCAATTTGGACGTGGTCAGCATACAAATGCAGCTTTTATGCATGGAATGAACATCACATAATGGTTTGTTTTAAGAAGTGCACTCACCTAAGGACTGGAAGAGATCAGTCATTTTAGGATGATCCCAACAGGTTGTCTGTGTCTCATGACTACAAAGGAATGAGGTAATCAAAGTTTCAGGTAACACACATACACTCATCCAAAGAATAAAAGCCCAAAGGTATTCTGATTTTCTGTGTTTTCTGGCAAGAAATCACTCAGCTCTTTAATAAAAATACATTATCTGTGGCACTCAGCTCCTTCATTATTTAATAACAAACTTAGACGGACAACAGCCCGCCCATATTTAATAATATTTACTTCTGATTCTAGCTGTGGCTGTATCAGTTGAACTTTGATTCTGCAGCTAAGAGGCACAGTAACAAGGTAAAAATGCAAAATTTCCTGCTGCTGCAGCACAATAAAAAATTCATAAAAACATTTCAAAAATAAGAAGCTTTGAGGTTTTATTTCAAAACACACTGCATATCTCAACACATGTATCAGGATATGTACAAAGATTTGAACCTTTACCCGTAACATGTAATGAAAGCCTGATCACTGTTCACACATCTAATCCATAGGTATCTTCATTTAGGGGGTGCATTCTACAATAGTGCTCACAGAACAGAGATTCAACAGGCAGCATCACTTAACCCATCTTTTAGCACTTGCTGTTTCAATTCGTCGAGGTTTCAAGTATGCAGCCATAGGCGTCAAAACCTGCATTATGTCAGGTCTACCAACATCTCCAATTCCCTTCTACAAGCTACATTTTACTTGTATTTATCAATATTAATTGCTGGAACGATTGCACATTCTTGCCTCGCAAAGTATTTACATTTGAATTATACCTGTAGGACAATTAACTAGAGAGTTGTGTTAAAAAGATCATAGCATTCCCCTTAAAATTTAATAATGAAAATTAAATTATGCTAGGTTATCAAACCTAACAGTAATGAGCAGAGAATACCACTTATTTCACCATTGTTTCTATTTAAAAATTGTTAACCTGTACACTTTTCTTCCACATGCAGCTATACTTGGCGGTTGGTATATACAAATGGCTGTACCTCAGCGGGTGCACAATAACTTACCATCACAGATTTTGTCATTTTTTTGAGGGGAGGAGGTTGGGGTTTTTTATACTAGGTGGTGCAAAAAAATGGGATAGAAGGTCCCTGCTCCAAAGCGCTGGAGAGACAGAACAAGTACCACAAAGCAGGGCAAGCTCCAAACAAATTAAGTGCTGAGGGCACTTCTTTGTGTTGCCTTTTGAGATACAGTTGTGGAAAGTGCATGCATTGGGTCTCTGCACAGGGGATATGATCAGCACTTTACATTCCATACATCAGTGTGACCTCTCCAGCTTCAGATCTGGTCTAGGTCTCCACAGTCAGCTTCTGCCTGCCATTAGGCTTAACTCTGTCATGGGTCTTGTTTGTATATGTGGCACCATCACAACCTTCGTGAGGTGTTTTTCATGGACGCTCACAGACAAAACATGGATTTTCTATTAATACAGGAGGTGTAAGTCCTCTTTTCTCTCTTTGTGATTACTCCCCTACTAGATGACTGAAGGAGATGCCCTGCACATGACATACATTTAAACATGATTTATATAATGCACAGACAAAATATTATCTTCTGTTAGACCTTGACTGACCCTGAAATTCTACAGTAAGACCTTCCCAATTCAGAAGAAAACTGAAGTACAACTCTATATCGGAACTAACATTTCCTGAACTGAAACTTCAATTTGGTTTCAGCTGGATAATAATATCACATGAATTTATTCACGTTTCAAACTCCAAATAAGGTAGTCAAGGTTGTGACATGCTTAACTCCAGGCATACCAGTATCTAAATCAGTGTTTTTGCAGTTTCAAGAAATACACTTTTCAAATAGCACTATGTTTATCCTTGTCCAGAAAAGTAATTTCAAAACAAGTCGCTTGACAACTATTTCTCTGGAACAGGCACACCAATAAATCATCATAAATCCAGTAACAACAAAAAAGGAGTATCTACATTTGGTGCTGCACCAAGGTTAAGGCAACTGACTATCCAGCATTCTTAAAAAACATGGTCTAAAAATCTACTGTATATTAGAAAGAACATACACGGCTTCAGTAAATAGGAAGAGAAAATACAATGGTTCGTGCTGATCAACTTAATTTAATAGCCTTAAAACTAGTCCTGAAGCTGACAAATAACTGCACTACCACATTAAGCAGGATGCCATCATTATCATGTTGACCCATCAGAATTGATTTCTGTCAACAAAACAGAACTGAATCCAATATGTGCTCAGTTTAAGGATGCTTGTTTTAAAGAAATTGCTTCACCTCAACTTTCCTGACTAAGAATCAACTTCCCCCCACCCAAAAAAACCCCACATGTATATATATAAAAAAATTTAACTGTATTTTAAATGCTGAAATATTAGTGCAAGCCCTGTATGTAAACAACATGGAATTTAGCTGAGCCAAATCCTGTTCACTGCCTTAGAAACCATCCTGTCAAAATTAGCCATGATGGTAAGGACTTTGCTGAATCACAGCCTTAATTTCTCAGTTCCTCTATTTTCCAGCATTAAAAAAAAGTTTTTGTCAAAAAAAATCTATTTTCTATTTCGTGAGGTGCTGAAAGAATCTCATCTGGGAAGTGCAGCAGAAGTGCAAAGTTTTATTAGCAGTAAATGTCTCTCAACACAAACAACAATGGTTCATTATCAGTAGTTGATCTTCAATTCGTCTCATAATAAACTGCTAAATTTTGCTAAGTCCAGAGACCTCCTCCTCTTTGGTTTTTTTTTTTTAAAGGAAAAAAAGTTAAATATTTGGATAAAGCTTTGTGAGGTTTTTTCTCCCCTCTTCGAAAAATACTGATACACTCCATGATGCATCTGTAATGCCAAATTAGGATGTGAGCTGCTTTTATTGCAATTTAGATTCCTGGTTCTAAGTAATTTATAAACCCATATACAATGAATAAGAGCTGATATTAGTAACCAAGTTTATTCCTTAAATCAAGTTTCCAAGATTTAAGAAAAAAACAGTTTTTTTATCGAAATTGTACGCTTTAAGTATCTAGTTTCAGTGGCAGCTTTATTTGAAAGACTAAAAACCACTTTGTCACAACCAGTACAAAAATAGTACTATTTTGTTCGTGCTTAACATGAAGCAGAAGATAATAGATATCCAGAATCTCTGCATCCTGAACTATGATCTTCTTTTTGCATTTAACGTAGTAAATACCTGAAGAGCAAAAATTTCTCTTTACAGAAAAGCACAGAACACAAAATTTATACCTAATAAAATAATAAGAAAATATTTTTATGTTTCTATTTTTATTTGAAAGAGAAATACCTTTGTGGGAGACTGATGAATCTTTAAAATTTATCTCTCAGTTCTTCTGTGTGGCACACATATTATGTGAGAAAGGAGGCCCAGCGAACATGATACGGTGAAAGCAAAAAAAGGCAAGAGAGAACCCCTTCACCCAGGCTCGTCATAATTATCTAACAGTCAGGACTACCTGGCAGCTGCTAAGTGACTACAGAAGGAGAACACGACTATGTCAGCCTCATCCCAAAGCACCTTGCAGAAACCATCTCTAACAGTCAGGCAACTCCATACACGGATCCAGCAGAGCAGAGGAATGGGCTCAGAGAGGGTGAATCAGCCCCTCAGCATTCTGCCCAGGTCAAAGAAGGCAGCGACTCCACTGCCACGGGCAGTGCCCCTGCCACCACCAAAAGTGGTCCATGGATAGGCTTCGTTTAAGGCAGAGGATGCCCAAGCTAGACAGCTCTGGACAGAGCTGAGTTAAAAAAAAAGATGACTGTAAATTTAAAAAGAGCTACAAAAAACTAGGGGAGAGGGGAGGAATCAGTCACATCAGTTACACATCTTAACACAAAGGTCTTTTTCATAACAAGTTCATAATATGCAGGGACTTTTATGTGAATATAAATTGATTTTCACAGGAAGAAGGGGTGTGCAGATAACCTTCCTAGGCTACATATAAAACTGTCCAAGAACAGAGTCATTTTATTTGGTGCTCCAAACAGGAGACATGCAAGACAAAGTGCTTTCTGGTGACTCAGTTTGTAAAGCAGCTTTTTGAAATAAGATCCATCTTTCTCTGCTGTAGCTACAGTAGCTTTTGTGTTACTGATGCAGGACTAACACAAGTAGCTCAAGCACTGAGAAATGTGCTCAGAAACTTTACCAGTACTGGATGGTCTGTAACAGATGAGACAGACTTGATGAAATTGGGGAAGATCTTTCTGACTGAGATCTCGTAGCTTCTTTTTATGCAAGTTCATACATAGAAATCCAATCTAAAGTACACACCACAGTGGTTATAATTGCCTGTCAGCTACTGCCCAGAGAATAAAAGCAGACTTGGATGTTCCTCTGCTTCTCTGATACCCTGCTCAGTAAACACAAATAACATGCAAGATGTCAGACCTACAAGGAAATGGATAAACAAAAGATTACACACTTTCTTCGTACTTTATATGAATACGTGAAATGCGTCATCCATAAAGGACCAGAAATTGCTAAATCGTTAATTATCAGAGTTGCTAAAACAAGGTAAGGAAGTGCTCCAGTCATTTTCTGAAGATTTCCAAGCAAAGTGATTTTACTACATCACAAAGAGAGTTTTAAGTTGATGGAGGCTATATCTGCTAATAAGTCTCAGAAGGCCATTAGTTAGAATTGGATGGACTGTCTTTACCACAGAGAGACAACAAGAAGTCTTCAGAAAATTCAGCCCCGCTAGCAACTATCTGCTAAGAATGTGAAGAAATGCCATCTTCTGCATTTTTCTATGGAAAATCCCCAATGATGGAAGTTTATAGTTTTCAGTCATCTCACTGGACTTCCAAAAAGATTCAAAACAAGTATTAAATCAAGAGCAGACAAATCTACAGAGTCTTCCCTCTGTTACAACTACTGTGGCAGTTCTGTCACAGGACACAGCGACACTCACACCACGGAGCACCATGTCTTGCAAGTACTCTGCTAACTTCAGGAAGAACTACTTGTAGAATAAAGCAACATTTTTCATGAGTGAAAGTGATCAACACGGGCTCATTA